AAGTAAGCACCTCCAGAAATGAATATCGAAAAATTAACAACTGTGTTTTCCAAGGCGGGTTTAAAAGCTTACACAGATCAAAGAAGAATGGGTTGCTCTCAAGCCTGATCCCTGAGAAAGTATCAGCAGATTCTGGACATTCTCAGGAGACAGCATTCACTTGTGGGGCAGAGAGTAGCCATTTACATAAACACTCTGCACCTTCAACCACTTCCACACATGAAATATAAAAGAGAAGTTAATTCCTTTTTTGCCTTCCTTGTAACACATATAAACTCAAATCCTCTTTAATCTAGCAGGCCAACAAACAATGACTTCGCAAAGGCAAACTAACACAATCCTGCATCAGACGGAACCAGGACCTAAAGTTCACTAGTACTCTAAGAAAAGGAAGTACTCAGTTTCTTCATCTTCCTTCCTTCCCTTTAGCTAAGGCAAAAGAATCAAGCCTCTTCCCCTAAAGACACATTAGAGGTGTGATTTTTTTTTTTTTTTTTTTTTTTTATTAGCAGTATCAATTTAAGCACATCTTCATCTTCACTGCTCTGTATCCCATTCCTTTTGTTTTGCTGTTAGGGCAAACTGGATCCAGGCTTAAAAAGATAATTTTTTCCCCCCTAAATTCTGGATGATGTCTTTCACCTCATCCCATTGACATAACTGTGGACAGAGGCAAGTGACAGAGGCTGTACCTCCACAGAAATCAAAGGAATGAAAGAAGGGAAGGCAGTACCTCAGGACAGAATTTGAAATGTCATTTTGCACCTTCTCCAGCAAAACCTGAGAGGTCATTTGGGGCACTTCCAGAGAGATGAGGAACACGGTGTTCACTTTTTTCTTGCAGCCTCTATATATGCTCTACCCTCGACTGTTTCTTAAGTCTTGATCACACTTAAGGATAGCCTCAAGCCAGGTATATAAGCCCACTATCTCTAAACCAAAAAATAAAACTGAGGAGAAAAAGCAGATTCAGCCAAGCAAGCACACTAGTCGAGCTGAGCATGCCAGTTTTTAAAAGGCATCAAGTTCAGATCCTGCCCTCCTTAATTAAAAGCTTTGCTTTGCCTTGCCAAGGGAGAAATTTGACAGCCACTAACCACCCTGCACCAGAAATAATTCTGTACACAACAGATGTATGAAACAGCAGCAGTAAGCTACTGTAACACATTTTGAGGAGGTATTTCTTCCTGGTGGTTGAGTACAAGGTTGTATTCCCATCCCCAGCAACAACACAGCCACTACTTTCTCCTCTTGTTTCCCACCACCTCCACTCCTTCCCACATGTCATCCACAGGGCTGTGTTGGTACAGATGTTCCCACAGCCACGCCGCGAGCCCCAGCGCTGGTCTGATCAGCCTGGAAGATAACACAGCAGGGAATGGAAAAAGTGACTGATCTGGTTCAGCACGAGGCCACACAAACAGCTGTGCTGGCACAACACAGTGAGCAGGAGCTGTTTATACACCCCGCCACGCATTGGGTCTCCCTTGCCCTGGGGACAGCTTGCTGAGACCAGGCTGACCAAGTGTCACCCTGTCACAGGAAGGCCACCCTTCCTCACCTCCACCCCGTGCTGCCTTGCCCCCATCTGACTCCGCAGCAAACAAGCTGAGGGCACTGAGCTTGCCAAGCTAACCGTGCCAAAAAGTCCCTTTCTGTCAGTTCAGTTTTCTTGATCGACTTGCTGAGGGATCAGACAAGCACCTGTGCCTGCACAGAGCCTCTAGGTCAGGTTAGGCATGAACATGGTGCCACCACGTCACAGGCACGTTCCTGCCAGATGCCACGTTGCCCTCCTCATGCAGGGACACCTGGGACACTCCCTGTTTGACACTGCTGATAGTTTTCCACCTCTTGTCAACTGTTCACAACCGGTTCCTCCCTACCCTGGCTAACAGAAAAATCTCGTTTGGATTCAGCTTTGTAGCTGCCAAATACCACAGCTTGACAATTCTCATGTTTTCCAAGCTTCTCTTCTCAAGTTAAGCAGCAAGCATGGAACAAGGTATCAAGGTAGAAAAATAAAATGCATCCCTCTGGCACCATGAAAACCAAGATGAATCCATAGCACTCATTTCCCAACACAGAGCATTACCCGATTTTATGACTTTGAGAATTTACCACTAATCTGTTCCTCAAAACTTACACAACACTGAAACAAATCACACGAGAAGCAGCAGAAGAATGAACGTACAGATGCCATCCCATGCACGCACCGAACGCTTCAGTTCTCCAGTAACTGGATCTGCACAAAGTAGTTAAATACAGACCACGCTATCAAACAGAGCCAGAATTTCACGATGTACCTTGCACACAAAAAGCACATCGTAGACTATCTGAGCTTCCAGTTTTGTTTTCTCAAGAGAAAGTACATTTCTAACCCTCCTGGCTGTGATGCCTTGGAAACACAATCCTTGGTATCTGCTCGAGTCCACAGACTGTTGGAAACAGTGACTCATGCATGAATTCCCACTAACCATTAATCTCAAAGTGTAAGCACTTATGCAGCAATAATGGTGTTTTAATGTCCTGGCAAAAATGGGAAAAAATGGTTAGCAGAATCTGGGAGTGACTGTCAGGAAATGAAGATAAAGATGATGCTTGGAGGACAACAAGAACAAGGAAGGACAGGAAAAAAGAAGTCATAAGTTATAAAGCACAGCTCTCCAAGCCAAACAGGAGTTCAGCTACCACCTGTTTCCAAAAGCTACATTTTCACTCATCTCCATGTGATATTCCTGAAAACAACTGCAGATCTGTGGCTGACTAAATATAAAACCCTCCTCCTTCACACACCCAGCCAGAGACCTCGCTAAAACCACAGTGGGCTTCAATCCCACTCTCACTTTGACAAGCTGTTAGAAGTTCAAGATGTAGTTAGAAGTTCAAGATGTAATTTCAGCATGCCCATAACATTGTAGCCCCAGACCCCGATTTAACCAGGCACCTCAGCAGAAGTGAACACTAGCTCCCTGGTCAGCAGCTACCTCCAGAATATTTTAAGTGCTAAGAGCAGTACATCAAGCTTGTGAAAGACTGAATATTTCTTTCAGCTCTATCAATCTGACTACAGCCCTAATGCTTACAAGAAAACTGCCCAGTTGCCTATTAGGCAATTGACCAAGAATATCTAGTTTTTCCTGATGAAGGGTACTCTCTGGACAAAAAGGGAAGCATTTCATTTCTGCCATCTCCAACCTGTTCTGGATTATTTTTTTCCAGCAAAAATTATGTAGCTACATGAATTTAGAGATTTTTTATCTCATCCAAAAACAATTAAAGAGCAATCCAGAATTCAGGATTATAGTTAATAACTTTTTGCTCTGTTTCCCAAATACAAAATTCATAAGATGACTTAACACTCAAACCCCAGTTTTCTAACCATTTAAACTACTTAGTAGCACTCAGCTAAAATGTACATTTTAGTTAGACACCTTTTTAAAGTTTTATTCTTTTTATCTCGCAGATCTCATTGAAGTGACAGGGCATTTACAAAGACCTATTTTTAAATATGGTATAAATGGTCCAAATGAGAACGTTCTCAAACTTAGTAATTGTTTCCAAGATTAAAGCAAAATGAGTTAGAACATGCCGTTTGACATTACAGGAACAGTAAGAGCCCAACTATTGCTCAATCTGATGGAAATACATGTCTTTCAGGAATCCTAATTTTCAGTATTTTGGAATACTGAATGCAAGCAACTAGCACAGACACAGGCTGACAGCTAGCAGTACAAGGACATGACTATTTTACTGTCCCATTTCTGCTAAACAAGGAATTGTTACAAATTTTAACCTTTTTTTTTTTTTAATTTTAATCTTTTTAAGAACTGGTTTTCTGGTGCAGAGTTCCTTTGTTCAAGCTTCTACTGCATAAATACATACATTATGGGTATTACCTCTGCCATTCAAATAATTTCCAAGTTAATACTAACACACCAAAGGAAAATATTTAACATCTAGATATGCACTATGTGTTGCAGATCCAAGACAAATGCAATTTCCATTCACAGAAAAAGAATATTGCAACAACCTTATTTCCACTGTAGTTCCTGAAGTGTCCATGCCACTCTGCAGGGACAGCTTCAAGGTTTATGAAATGCCTAACACAGATGGAATTCCCAAATTTAAACCAGGGAAGCCCACCTGTGCCTGCAGTGCATTTCTACAGACCTCCCTGTACAACCTCACAAGTAGCTGGAAAGTAGAGTAGGTACATCCAACCACATTTCATCTTAGTCCCTGGAAGTATTGCCCAATAATAAACTTGCATAAGTAAAATTAAGCACAGATTTATCAAAAAGAGGTTTGGCCTTTGAAGAGGAGACAGAGAGAACTGGTTGCACCTTAAAAAAGCATGGGGAAATGGGTAACAGGTAAGCAAACTGCACTTACAGAACAGCCAACAGTAAAACTTCATGTGCAACCAAAAATTGCCATCAAAGCTCTAAATTGAGGGGATTATATTCTGCTGTCTAAAATCACAGTCTCTTCAAAAGGCAAATATTGTGGGAGATCGTAAAGACAATATTATCTTTTGAGGGAAGATGAAACAAAAGTGAAATGATAATTTGGAAATAATAATAATACCACCACCACAGTATGTCCGAATAGTTTTCACGCAGACTGCAATAATTCTTTACATTAGCTTGCAATGTTTCATACAGATTCACTAATTGACACAATTCAGTAAAAAACAAATTAACTGAGGGTTAGAATAGTCATCACCAATGAAACCAGGTGATACCAGGCCCAGCAGCTTGAAGCACGTACTAAGACTATGCCTCTGTATAGTGATAAAACATTTACACAAGTGAAGCATTCGCCATTTGAAAGGGAGAACTGCTGATTAATGCCTACATCCAGGTAAGTTGCAGAGGAAGAATCTGACATGTGCAAACAGCCACTTTTGCTTATTCAAGTTGATGAGACACATGATTAATTGCCATACTTTGCATTGTTCAGATAAGGTGTAAAGGTACAAACAAGGAAGAACCTACCAGGACTCTCTACCCGCTTGTAGTGGTAGGGATTGATGCAAACCTCCTTCTGTTTTGAACCAAAGGGAAACTCGCAGCATTCCAGTGGTTTCAGTTCATGATGGCTCTGCAGGTCTGGCCAGCGCCACACTCTACAGTAAATTACATGTGGTAGCCCTTTCCGGTGTGAAACCTGAAGCCTGCCATCCAAGGAACGAGGAATTGTGACACAGTTGCTGGGCTGACCAGGACAGCTTAATGCCTTTTCCAGCTCTTCCATAGCACCTTTTTTCTTTTTCAGTTTTTTTACTAATGCATCGACAGCTTTCTCTGCCCATTTTTCTTCTTCATCCCCCTGTTTCCATCCCAACAGCCTCTTCACTGCTGGGCTGGTGAAGGAGAATAAACTTGTCACATTCATGGTGACCCCACTGTAGCAATACCACAGAACCAAGTAGGAGAGACCGTCCTGTTCTTCCACCACCACCAGGGTACAGCAGATTGTGTCAGTAGTCAAAAGCAGCCTGTATCAAGTAATTCTGGTCCTTTCTCCTTTTCAGTCCTCCAGTCCCAGGAAGGCAGTGCTGACATCCCTCCTTGATGGATGCGACCTTCTCATTGTTCTAAACTCTTCCGGCCAAGAACCTGCAGGAGAATATTGGAGGGAGAGGGAGAAGGGAAAAAAAAAAAAAAAAAAAAAGAAAGAAGGATTTTACCTTTTAAATTAACATATAGCAGTTAAAAACAACCCTCCCCAACCCGCGAGAGTAGTGTGACCAAAAACCAACAAAGAACAAAAAAAAAAAAAAAAACAAAAAAAGCAAAAAAAAAAACCCAAACCATACAACAAAATGCTGACAGCCTCCAGAACTAGACTCAAGGCATATCTGACAAAGACTTTTAAGCAGCGGGGCCTGCTGCTGAACCCTGTATATCCCTCTTCACAAACCAGACCTGAATAAATGAAGTGATCACCTTGGAAAATAATGACACAGCATAAACAAAACCAATAGCAATGGGCAAGGGGCGTGTAGCAGTAGGAAAGGGCAAGGGTAGAAATAGTTGGCGGGACAATTTCCCATCAGCTCAGTTCCCTCATCCAATTTGCTGTGTGGCCCCAGTCGTTTTTGTGCCACACAGCAAGGGGGACAGCAACTGCATTTGCCAGCTTCAAACAATACTTCTGCTCAATGGCCAAGCATGGCCTCAGTTAGTACCCATGAGAAGCTCGATATAAAAAGCTGAAACAGAAGAAGACATGGCTTTAATCCCGCATATACTCCACAAAATGGCAAGGCTCCTATATTTGAAATGTAGCTCACATTAAATCTAGACTGAAACAGTCCCTCGGATTTAATCTTTCACCGTTAAGGGTGAAGGGCACTCCCCTCTGCCTATCCGCTGTTGCAACCTTAACCAGCAAAATCCCAAAGGAACCAGTGCAAGATCATTGGAGCTTGTTTTTTAAATTTATTTTAGAGAGTAGCTGGAAGCAATATGCTGCAACACCACTGTGCTACCCAGACCTCACCAAACCGCCAGTGATGTAGCTCAAAAATCACTGCAGTAGACTTGTGCATATGATGATCTGAAACAGAAACAGTTCAGCTTCACTTCTGACTTACTTTGAGGAACAAATGATAAAAAAAGAAAGGAAACCAGAAAGATCCTTGCCCTGGCTCATCTTACATGAGAAAGAAAACTGCATCTCCTCACCCCACCAAAAAGCCCTCGCAGCCCATAAGCAGACTGTGAAGGGAAGATAGCATGAATTTACTTTACCGATTACATCCTGACCCTTCCCATTGCAATGCCTGCCTGATGTACGCAAGGACACATCAAGGATTAGGAAGGAGAAGTCCTGATAAGAGGATTTTAGACAGCACAGTGGTCCTTCAGTTGGGAGACATGGAAGAAGCGATGGATGAGGAGAGGGAAGAACTCCACATATGAAGAAGTCCCTGCTATGAGCAACAAGAGTTATACTTGCCTGGGCTTGGAGCAGGCAAAAGGCTCTTCTGGGGGAAGTAGGAGAGACCCTGTACTAGCAAGGCGAGGGAAACAAGACAAAGAGCACTAAACCACTGATTTTCAAACAGAGCATGAAGACAGACAGGAAACATATCCTGCACTGGATACCAACAGGTTGCAGAGGAAGGGGGAAGGGGAAAAGGATATGAATGTTTTTGTTGCCATCAGAAAGACACAAAAAAAAAAAAAACAACCAACCAACCAGCAACCTACATGCACAGAGAATAGATGGTGTCAGCACACCCACGTCAGACAGAATTTCATAGTTATACTAAGACTGCAGATCTTAAAGTTGTAAATGTTATGCCACACAACCTCTTGACTATCATGCACTGTAATGGTTTCATAGTGTACCACTGTACTTGAAGTACTTTAAGTTGAAAACCATCCACTGGATTCAAATTAATTTGTCACCAAAACAATTATCTAATTGCAAAGGTTCAGTTTTATTAGGTTGAATGCATAAACTACAATTATGTGAATAACGGTTATGGACTAAGACACAGACCATGTCTACCTGTACTTCATACTGGTACTTCCAATTCCTTTTATGCTAAGAATTGTATTTGACATAATAATGTCAATCCAATGGAAGATTTGCATGAGCCTGGGGCAAATTTAAGAATTTATTTTGTTACCTGGGCATGTGCTATACTGTTAAATGAACTGAGTCTCCATTACTGTCACTGACTGTACCCCAGGTATACTTTATCCTTACACATACTGTAAAGTGCTCTATTGAAGCCCTGTGCTAATTTAAGAACCATATTACCAGAACCCCAGTACATGTGCTTCAAATGTGTTTGTTAGTCAGAGTTATTCTCAACTCATACATAGTCTGTATCTCAACTGGTATTCTAAATACCTTCTGTATCTTTCAAAACATAGAAGTTCCAGATACAAAAATTACAAGTTCCAGTGGTATATCACTAAGTAATCAAGTCAAGCCTTCTATTTCACATCCATTCGAATTAAAAAATATTCAAGACTTGAGGTGAAGTCCTAATAAAAAAGAAAGTCTAAGGTCTAAATCTCAACCCAAACTTCTTTCAACATTGATAATGAATGCAGAGATGGTTCTACCTAGGCCTGACCCATTTTCACCAAGCTACTTTAAAAATAAGTGACCAACCTACTTACTGTCAAAAAGAAAAAAGTCCCTTCTGTTAAGACTATGTTTCTACCAGTGCCTGAAAATACAACCCTAACATGAGCCAGTACACAAGCTCTGCAAAGTCTAAGACAACATTTAGATGCAACCTCAAGTAGTCAGACCACAGGAACAGATTTTTTACAAAGTTTTGGGGATCAAATCCCACTCCCGCAATCATACATCCCAAAACATATTTTGCGATCACAATCAAATGTATCATCTTAACATCTGGCATCTCTGTAGCAAAAATTGCAGCAAGAAATATGCTGGGAGCTGGAGGAAGAGCATTGGGTACAGTACCTGTCAATACACTTGGAAGTAATGCAGCTCAGCAAAACCTAACCAGCCACCAGCCTCCAGCCCAGGGACTCTTGCTCAAGTCTTGCCTGCCCAAACAAAGTTTAAGCACCCTCCAAGCCCTGAACAAGCCACAAGACAAAGGGGGGCAAAACCCACAGGCTGCTGATTACTACTGACACTAAGCTCCAATACCCATATGAAGCTTAAAAAAAAAAAAAAACAAAAAAGACAGTGTAGGTGGAGTTTTTTGTTTCCAAGTAGAGAGTGTACCCACAGTACTGAGCCCTCGCCAGTACATTCCGTTTCCCTTTCTGCCACTCTCGGTTTTCGCAGTGCATCATTTCCTGTATTACTTTTGCACAAAGTGGTCTTATCAGCTGGAAGTGCAAAATAAAGATTAAACCACGAGTCAGCAAATCACACAGTCCACGTCTTTCTTGCCCAAATACACATGCCCTTCTGGGAAAGTGGGAGGTAGTATTTCCAATAGCTGAGTGACCACCACCAGCCCTTGAAGGGTATGTTTATCCATGAGGTAAAACCCAGGCCAAACAGGGCACTCTCCAAAAGGCAGCCTGGAATCAATTTAAAGGATATTGAGCTGTTACCTACTTATCAGCCACTTTTTGCACAGCAAAACCTATGCACTTTTCATTAGGTGTTCGTTCTGCTAGTGGATGAGTTGGAATCAACAAAGTTTTATTTAAATCCCAATGCTACTTTATATTTGTCTTCCTTCACTGCTGCTGTCTTTCGTGCAATCTTTGGACTAACACACAAACCTGCATGCAGCTTGTGAGAAGCCTATAAAAAAAAAAGTGAACTTTATATATATAGCTGCTCAGCCAGTCTTGTATTTAAACAAACATGATTTAGGCAAAATGCCTAAGACTGAAGTTCTACTTTTCTAGCCCTCAAAGAAAAGATAGTTACTCCGTCAGCAACACTAAACAGACAGTGAAATATTCAAACAGACCGTTTTCAAATTCCCACAGCAGATCCCATAGGAAACTATCTCACTTTGCATAAATGACTGTTTTTGGTGGGTGGAGAAAGGGTTAGGACAATTAGATGATCCTCTCTCAGGGGGAGGGGAAGAAGTGAAACAACTCCTAGCCCAAGTTTCAGGCAAACAAGAAGCAGCTCTAATTCTTCTGTTAATTTCATTATTTGTATTACAGGCTCAGTGATGCAGGCAAAAAGGATCCTATTAAATATTTTTCATATATGCTCAGCACAGTTAGACGTAAAACGGGGCAGGAACCACAGTGAAGAGAATGTATATAATTGTTAGGGGAGAAAACTGCCTAGTCTTTGATTACATTTTTAAAATTCAATTTATCATATTTTATTTACTGTACCTCCTGCCAGCATCCACTACTTAGTGACAATATAAAGAAATAACAAGCAGAGATATTTTAATTCGCTTCTTTAAAATTATTTAGTAATTCACCTTCTCCGAAAGACACGTCTTTTCAGCAACTCATGTACTCAGTATAATATTTAGACCTTTTTAAAAAAAAAAAAAAAAGATCAGATTTTGGCACAGAAGCCAGGGAACTGTCACTTAACTCCTGCAAGAACTATTTCCATGTATTACTAAAAAGCATGCAGTCTAAGCAGCTGTAATGCTAGAACGTATTACAACAGATTGTGCACTAACTTCCTCTGGCTCCCTATTCTTGGAGCAAGCAGCAAAAAGTTTCAATTTCTTTCTTCAAGCAATATGACTTGTAAAACAAAAACTCCAGAGTCTTCTGTTGAATTACTCTGTTTTTAATCAAAGAGTTCTTTCTTTGCATCTTCTTATGGTAGAAGATCAGATCTTGCTCATCCTGGAAAAATGCATGGAAACCTGGTAGAAGCCTCAGTGGCATTACAATACATATGCAAAGAGAAAGGAAGTTTCATTTCAAAATGCTGTAGAACTCATTAGAGAGTTCATATAGAACCTGACTTGGCTTCCCTTGTATTTCTGAAAAGGACAAAGAGAAAGAAGAAAAAAAAATTAACTCTTTTATATGTCTTCTGGGCATGGCAGAAAGAATTCAAGAAAACACTTAAATATGAAATCCTGTGTTAGTTTCTGATACGCATCATACAGTTCGAGGAAAGAAAAGCACACCGGTGTTGAAAATACTTCAACCTACTTCGCAGAAGT